CTCTGGGCCATGCTTACTGGAAAGGTACCTCTGGTAGAACGGGGTGACGCAGAAGTGAGCAGTGTGGTTTCCTGAAACGCCAGAGCCCGAAGTTGTACTCTCCAGCGATGGGACCCACCGCGCTGCAGAACCGAGCACCTCATCCACCTCACCAGAGGCGATCTAGTAACACTGCTGGCATCACACACGAGTTACAAACTCACAGAACCAGCAGAAAGCCTGAGTTTTTACTTCGAGGGGAATTTCCACACAAATAAAGAAGCAGCTTTTTTTTTTTTTCCCTCCTGTGGAAGAAACCGAGAAAGTTTCCCATCCAACAGGAAATTGAAATTTAATTTTAAAATTATCAAGACAAGAGTTCTGAAGCAAGTGAGCTGGCAAGAAACGATATTTTTCTGGGGAACTTTGCCCAGCATCTATTGAACAGCGGACAAACACAATGTATTCATGTGAGAGCTGTCATTGTGCTGTACTGAATCAGTGTTTCTGCCTGGAAAACCCTTGGATTGTGATTGATTGCTTCTTGCTCTCCCTTCTTCACTCTCCCCACTTGTTTCTTAGTCTTCCAGTAACTTTGCAGCCCCAGCATGAACCTCACAGGGTGCACAAAAGCAGAAGGGTGCACGAGAGAAGATGCACAAAATGCCGCATGGAGGTAGAGGTTTCTTGCAGATATTATTTCTAACCGGGCTGTCCCATGGCCGCTGCCCATGGGGTAAGCTCCCAGGCACCCAACTGGGACACAATGAAAAAAGACGGTGTTCTCCCACCTACCAGTGAGTTCACAAGGAGACGTCATGGCCAGGCTAACAAGCACTGAAGACTTTCTTGCATCCAGGACTGTGAGACCTGACGGCTGTTCTGCCGTAACACCCGCAGCTATTCAGAGGCCGAAATCGGGAAAGCTGCTCTGAGGCTCTCCAGAAGGCACAATTCTCGAGGCTGCTAAATGCCGTGATTTCTGGCGCTCAACTTCTCTTCCAGGCCCCAGCTCGGTAAAGTATTTCTCACTGAATTAAGGAGAATTTAAGTATGTGCTTACGCATCTGGATGAACAGAGAAAGCCTGTTGAATCAAAGGAACTACTGAGAGCAGAAGCCCTTAAAAATTATGGTGGGGTTTTTTTCCCTAAAAGTGTCTGTTATTTATTTCCAAGTCCTTATCTTGTTTATAACAAAGAATGAACAAAATTCCTTTCCCAAGGCTGGATAGTCCTGGAGCATATCCGCACCACACAGGGATAAAAATAAGCTTGATTTTAGGCAGATTAAATAAGCAAATGCCTCTTAGTCTCTTGACTTCTTTCTCTCCCTTTTGAACTTTTTATTCTTCTATACGCAGTAAACCTAAGGTTTTATGGCCTTATTCAAAGTCTGCTGAATTTGATGGAACTCCTTCTGTTGGCTTGAATGGATTTTGGAACAGACCTTTAGGCAGAGGATGACAATATCTTTATACAGGTTTCTCATCCACTGTCTAGAGAAAGGAATATTAATTATTAAAACACTAGTCCAGCATACAGCCCCCAAGAACTGTCAATGTTCACTCTACTTTGTCACTTAATTTAAAATTACCCTGCTTTCTCTCCGAACTTTCTTTAGCAACATAAAATCTTTACAGACTGAATAGGTTTCCAATTTCTAGCTCATTTTATATACAGCCTTCAAACCATAATTGCTTTTGAAGTGCACCATACACACAGGTAACTATACAAACAGCAGTTTCCAACTGTTATAATAAACCATCTTTAAAACGAACGTGCCCCAGATCAGAAGCCCCACGTGGCTGCAACGAGGACGTTTGCCGCTGGCGATTTTGTGGCTGGAGAAGGCACAGCCTGACAAGCTGGGGGTGGCGAGGGCTGCACGGCCGCACAGGCAAGACGCAGCACCGAGCACTGCCCTGGCCTCTTCCCCCCTAAATCCAGCTGAGTGAGAGCATGGCTTTGGTGAGACAGAGGAATGCAAAATGCCCTTATGCCCTTCTATTTCAGCTAATGAAGTTCACATGAATGAGCCGGAACATTTTTGCCACCGAGGCCCTGATGCAGCTGTCACCGCCGCCATGAGGGATCCCCCAGAGGGTTGCTCCGGAGGTGATTTTCACAGTGGGACAAGCTCCCGGTCTCTGTGCCACCCAAGACCCCCCAACCGGTGCATTCCACTGCTTCACAGTATTTTTCCAGAGCCTTGAGCAGTACCTACGGAAACGCTTGGCCTCTAGCACGTCGTGCCAGTATTACATAAAACGGAGCCCACGAGAGGCCTCCTGAGCTCAGGTCCCCATCCCCATCCTAGAAGCAGAGGGGTACAGGCCGTTCCGATTCACGTATATATTGTCGTACTCAATACACACTTTGAAATCTTCAAGCAGACTGTGACTTGTCATCTATAACTAAAAGGCATCGGTACAGAGACACACAATGTGCTTTCGCAAAATGACAGAAAAACTGTTCTTTTCATGTTACCTCAGTGCAAACACGACTGCGTTTTGCTTTGGAATAGCTACTGCTCTACGAGACATATTATCGTCAGTTAAATGAATTTACTACCCATATCTAGTCATCGTAAATAAAAGAAGCAGACCAACCTGCATAGGGCTTTTTTTTTTTCTTTTTTTTGGAGTTTGCATGCTTAATACAGAACTAGTAGGTTGAAAATCTCACTGAACATTCTATGTGAATTAACCAGATTCTAGAGTAATGTGGAAAGGAAAACAATGAAAAGTACAGCTTTTCATCTAAACATATGCAGCTCTCTTCATGCAGGGTTTTCTTTTAGGTTTTTTTTTCCTTTTTTTAAATAACACTTTGCATTAAAAGAACATAGCCAGTGTAAACACAGTCTGTAACACTTATAAAACAGTGCAAATTTTGTAAATTTCTGGGAGGAGGTTGAAATACATATATTCGTAATGGAGGTAAAATCACTTTCTTAGTAGAAAAATACATATATTAAACACCTATATGTTTGGAATTTAACTTCACAAAAGAGCAAGTTATAGTCCTATACTGTGTAATAAATTAATATCTTACCTAGATTTCCACTTTCGGTGTTAGTGTCAAATGCATAATAATGTAGAAAAAACAAAAGAAACTTGTATTATTTAGAACCTAATGAAAATCTTACATATAATAACTGCTGTAAGAGGGCACAGAATAAAGAACCGGGGAAAGAAGCAATGGAAAAATACCAGCCTGTATGAATTATTGCACATTTGAGATCATTCTCATGGCCTTTGGGCCAGTTCTGGATACTTTTAAGTCTTAGGTCAGTGTTTGTTTCCATTTGACTGTAGGGTACAATTTAGGAACCACTGCAAAATGTCAAGGATTTACTGAACTTGTTTGCTGATGAAACCACAGGCAGCTGAGTGCAGAGTGCTGACTTCTATTTGTGCAATCAAAGAGAACGCTGCTAAAAACATACTGAAATGCAGGCAAGGGTGCCTGCCATAAAAATATTTTTGGGAACTTGCTCCAGCAGATCTTATTGAGACAAAACTCTCCAGTCTACTGTGCTTTCGGTAAAGCCATGCCAAAACCCGCAAAACTGGCTTCTGCCTTCATTATTTCGAGCTTTTTCCTTGAACACGGTTGTCTCCACCGTCTGACTCTGCAACCCTGCATCAACTGAGTATGGAAATCTCCATGAAACCTACTGCTCCAAAGGGAACTCCGCTCGCTGAGTAGTAATGCCTGATGCTGAGTACCTGCAGAACACCCCTCATTCGCAAGCAGCAAGACTGCTTTTCATGGCAGATAAATGACAGTATGCTATTTGACTGATGGGATCACCCACCTAAGTAAGAAATGCAAGACCTTACCAGCTGCTTAAAAACATCACTTTTCACAAGTTGCACAGAGAGCAGAAATATTCCTGCTTCAGCCATATTTAAAAGGTACATAAACTGACAGGTAGATAAACAGAGAGAGAACTGTCTCAGGTGATTATCACTGCAATTGAAGTCAGACTGCTAGTAAACCTGAATAATTTAGCACTTCACCTCTGAATATTGCTGTAGTAATTATTTTCTATTGCTGAAGTTCTCACAAAAAGGTTAATTTCAAATTGTAACTACTGATTTTGGAAAAAAAATCCTATCTAAAATTACATTGCCTCTACTACAAATCTTAAAAGAGCTCAAGAGTTCTTAAGAAATTTCAAATTAATGAATTGACCGACAGACAGATAAATTTATACTTAAACTGTTTAAAAAAAAGCCATTAAAAATCTGCAAAAAAACTGTGAAATAATCTATAATTGACAGAAAAATTGTTTGAAATCCTCCTAAACATCTTCCAATAGCCTAGTAAGTTCTTTAATAAAACCACATTGCTAACCATTGACTACAAATACAACATGCCTCAATAATAAAAGGAAGAGATGCTGATGTGAGCAGGTGATTTATTCTGCAGCAACTGTTACTATGCACTTTATTGATAAAGCTTCATCTGCATTGTTTCAGCTGGTCATCTTCTAAAATGTACTTGCGAGACAATGTTACTGGGAAGGTTTCCTCCTCCTTCCTTTTAAGCATGATTCACCTCTTGTAGTGTGAGCAGGAGATAACAATTTTCGTAGGATGATTGGAATTTCGAACTGTTCTGAAGTCTATATGAAAAACCCAACAACTTCCATGTATTTCAAATGCTATTACTTAAATATGTACGGATGTTGGAGATCATATACAGTGACCTTTTATCCATCCCAGATTGTAAACCTATTTAAAACAATGGGATGTGATTTTTCTACCCCCCCTCCTTTTTAAAGAAGCAATAAAACTGTACATTAAAAGACAGGCAGGACATTGCTGAGCTACAAAAGAATGCCCCCTTTGCCAACAATTTGTAAACGTAAACAAAAAGGTTCAAGTAGAAAAGCCATTAAGTGTGCCGCTGCTTCGAATATGCTTTCTCACCCCGTGGGGTTCGGACAAAGTTCTTTAAAAATGCGTCTTCATGGCAGTCATGAAGCATCTCAAGAGAGTCCGGATCCTCGCTACCAAATATCACTGGTGAAGCTAAGCTCCTTTGCTGATAAAGGTAGCAGCGGGTTGTTCCTGTGAAAGTCCTGGGGATCCTTCATGGTATTGTTAAGAGGTAGCTGTCCGTTTAGTACTGTCAAAGGTATGTTACAGTATGTGTGATGGTTGCTTATGGAAGCTATTGGCAATGTTGCTGCTGACACACCATATTCGTATCCTCTGCAATAATGTCTCATTTGCACAGAATCTGCTTGATGGTAATCAGTTAAATCAGCCCGCGACTCTACCAACGTGGCAGAAGTGCCTGTGACGGCAAGAGAGGGTACAGTCTGGAGGTCTCCAAAAAGGCCCTGCTCTGCAGAATCCAGGACCTGATGCCGAGACACCACCTCCTTTTTCTTCCCTGGCATTTCAAAGACTAGGCGCTTCCAAAACTTAGAATTCAGTTTGCTGCTTTTTGGTCCTTTCCACTTGACCACTGAGAGAAGTTTGATGGTGTGCTTTAAAGATTCCACTTCATGGTAATTCAGTTTCCCTTTCAATTCAGTACACTCAATCAAAATAACTTTGATTTCTCCACTGACTAGCATGTTATGGAGTCTGTTTTCCATCTCAAATATACTCCATCCTCTCCTGAGAACATAGTCTGGAGTTAACACGATAATGAGTCTTCTGCTTTGTTCAACACATCTTGTGAGATCTTCAATGTAGGCTACAAATTATAGAAAGAGAGAAAGAGTAAAGAATAAAGAAGTCTATTGTATCAAAACATCAGGCTTGCAATCAAGTATAACAAAATACTACAGCTTACTGATCCACACCATTTAAGACAAGACTCCAACAAAAATACGATTGTGTATCACAACTTCTTTCTATTTATGGAGTACACACAGAAAACTCCTTAATAACACCCTCCATCCTTTACTGTTTTTCCCTATTCATCTCAACAGAACGACATTTACATATTATCCTCGCTGTGTAGATGCATTAGTGACTAAAAATACACAACTCACTGAAAAAATATAGGTCAAGAGCAATGTAATGTTTGTGTAAATTTTAACATTAACGCTGGTTCTGATTAACATTGCATTGAGGGAAGCACACTCTGGGAAGCAGCTCTTGTGTTTCAGATGCAAGGACACGAGGGTGCTGCAGGGTGTATGAACGGTAACTTGCAAGAGCTCAAAAAGAAATCAACCCCCACCACATGCAGAACTTGTGCTATTGCATAGAAGCATCATGAAAGTTTTCTTCTTTAGGTATTGACCACAAAAGCACGGTAACATTCTTTGTGGCCCAAAGGTCTGTTTAAATCTCACAAACCTGTGCTTCTATGTACCCCAAGGTATTAACAGAAACTTCACAAGTGACAGCAACAAAATGGAAAATTTAAACATATTGGAGGTGTTTATTTGTTGAGACATCAGTGACAAAGAAAACAGTATTCTTCTTTAATTCATGCATGCCCAGTAGTTGCAAACAATCAGTGTAAGTAGAAATGCCAGCCCCATCGTCAGCTCCATGATGTCAGCTTATTGAACTACAAAATATTCTTGAAGCTGGACTTGGATCCCTGGGTTTGACTTGTCCCAGGGATGGTAGGGAAGAGAAGCCAATTACACCAGTCTGACATGGAACAGGATGGGAAAGAGATCTACTTACAGACCTGATCCAAAACCCATTCAAATGAACAGACTTCAACAAATTTCAGTGGGTTTTGGGTCAAGACCAGAAAAATGAAATCACTTGAACAAAACCCACTAAGGCCAGAAAAGTGTTCACTGGTTGCACAGCGTTGTGACTGTGAGCTTACAGACAGGGTATAGGTTTTTTTAAACCACATGAACCTCTTGACCATGCTACTCGGAACGTGCCACCTGACAACAGAGGAGAAGCATGTGCTAGAAATGAAGACTTGGACACAGGAGCTGCAGAGAACAGATCTTTACTCAGCACAGGGCAGGGCCTCTCTTACACACACTGCCGTCCAGCAGGAACGACGATTACAAAGCACATCATCAATCAACAGCTGTTACTGCAAGACTCAGTTTTATAGTCCCAGGCACCATACCACAGCATGCTTATTCACACCACTTCCAGTCAAGTAAATAGCTACAAAATAGGCCAACAGGAACATTCTAAAATAGCTTATTTTCATGAGACTGAAGGCATGTTAGCATCAAATCTGCCTTTACCGATGTTTTATTTCACCACTTAGCAGCAAGAAGAATTTCTTTCACAAATGGAAAAAAGAGGCAATTGCAAACATCCCACAGACACACAAAAATTTAAGACATACACATACATTACAAATGTCTATGCAACAATCCTGATTTTCAGTTAATGTTCGATGACTCTTTAATCATGCAGCATTTACAATTTTTTTTTTTTAATGAGGAAAACTCCCACATTGCTCTGTGTAAAACAGTTACTCATTAATGAAAAAAATTCAACATTAAAATCCATGGGAGAGGCAGCGGAGAGGGGAGAGAATCAGCAACAATGAGAAAATGATAAGCAGAACTGGTGAAACAAAACTTAAGGAAAGGTAGAAATGTTCAATACAATGGAAAGAGATTATCCCAATGTATCAACAGCTCAGACTCTTCATTTTCTTCCTTTCTTTCTGCTCCCAAAAAGAAAGAATTTAGGTGGGAAGCTTCATCATTAGGGGTTGAATCTGCAAGATACAGTAAAACAACAAACTATCATGCATCTTTCCTGAGACATATTCATCCCTCCTTCAAACAACTCAGAACACTGCTATGTACAAGTCAGGTCGCTGCAGGACACAGTACTGATCAGTACCACATACCCAGGTTAGTGCTAAGCACGGCCATGTATATACTATATGCATCCAAGTAAAAAAGCAAACAAAAAGTCACTTCACTTTCATCTCTTCAAATATCCAGCGGCAATAATTTCAATAGCAACAACCCAGCAATAATCCATTATACCATCTCAATGAAAAACTCACCAGACTTTGCCTTAGTCAAACAGGGAACGAGGTGGGAAGAAGACAGGAAAAAAATCCCTATTTTCTCGGGCCGATAGTTCTCCCCTCTGTGCCTCTCCCATACTCGAGCATGCCCACCTTACTGGATATTGCAACAAGTTCGAGCTCTTTCTACACACGACTACACAGACACCTTCACAAATGACCACTAGCTGCTCCTTCAGGTTCCAAGTTTGCAGCTGGTTCTCTGACAGACACGGCCAGTGTACAGTGGGTTTGTTGGTGCACGGAGAATACAATACACTGTATTATAGGAAACTGGAAACCCAAATGAAAAAGCAAACACATTTTCCAGCCATCTGGTCCAGAAGTACTTAGTATTCCCAATAACTTCAGCTTGGGACTACTACTAAAGGTAGGTGACAACCTCCCTGGAGCACACGGCTCCATTGGGTGCACCCTACAATACGTCCAACATGCACAACTTAAATATTTCTGTGAGGACAAGCATGGGAAGACAGATTCCTGTCTATAGAAATCCAACCTTTATTTTTCCCAGTGGTACCAGACGGACTGCATAAACCTCTGAGTTGCTAAATCACCCACCCTCCTTCCACTTCAGAATGTGAGCTGCTTAAAACACCGCAGGTTGAGTTGTCCATCTTAAGTGCTCAGTCTTTGCAATGTAGGATGAAGAAAGGGTTGTTTTCACCTTTCCAGTGCACTAAGAAGTAATTGTCAGGCAATGGCTCTGTTTCACTGTCAAAAAAAACACACCTGAGCAGGCATTTCAGGAATGGCATCACCAGCTCGGATCAGCTGTAAGATTCCAGACCAATACACTCCCATCAGATAAATCTCATTTTGCTGAAAAGTCACTTTTGCTGCAAGAGGCATCAACTTCAATGACATCTCATTGTGAGGGGAGATAACAGTTGTGTTAACAAAATCAATATGGAATTATTCAGTTTTAATTCTGAAAGATTTTTATCATAAGCTAGAATATAAAAATAACATGTCAGTGTTAGAATTAACCCACTTGATTTTTCTTGAAAAAGAAACATTTTAAGTTTTGACCCTCGTTCCCTCTTGAAACACCATTTTGCAATATGAGACAAAAACTGTTTTCAAAATGTTAGCATTTCCCATAGGTCAAAAAAATGAGAATTATGAGTAGCTCTATAAGTAACTTACTTGCATCATGTCCAATGCAATGCCCAAGGAGGTATGGACCACCAGAACTTTTAGACTGATAAACAAACATAGTTTTTGCATGGTTGCCCTGTAGTAATTAAGACAACTCACCAAATACTGTCAACACGTAACGATGCTGAACTGTAGTTTGAAGCACTGAAGAAGAGAAGCCCAAGACATGCATCCCGTTTGCAATTAAACCATGCATAACTGCCTATTGAATCTTGAATGAGCAACGCTAACCACAGGCTGGAAGGAAACTCAGACAACCTAATATGCATGCAGACTAAGAGCAAGGCAATTAATGAACACCACGGACACAGAATTGCTTACACAAAGAAATGACTGACTAACCAGATTCAGATGATTTGCAGAAGCCGTTGAGGGGGAGAGAATGAACACCAGCAATCACATAAAGCCCTGCAGATATTCTGGGGAAGCCCCATCCCAGTATAAACTGAGGGACGGCTGATGAGTTCAACATACAGAAACAAATAATGCAGATCAGCGTGACACACCGCCCTCTCAGCAACACCACTCTACTAGCCGTTGTCGGACTTTCTGTATTTGACACGGCAAAGGAAGGAGGGATTAAGGGGAAGGAAAAGATGACGGCTCTGGGGATATCACCTTGCAGATTGAAGTGTCTGCAGTGGGTGATTTTGGTGAAATTGTTTTGGTAATAGATGTTGGAATCAAAATTCTGGATATTTAGAATCAAAAATTCATAGACTTCTACAGGTTAGAAGGGGGCTCTGGAGGTCTGCAGGTCCACACCCTGCCCAAAGCAGGACCAGCTAAGATTGCTCAGGGCCTTGTCCAGTACAGTTTTGAAAAACTCCAAGGTAGGAGGTTTCTTCTTAGTGTGTCTGCATTCTGTTCCAGTGCCTGACCACCCTCACAGTGAGGAAAATTTTCCAAATGTTTAAATGGGATTTCAAGTGTTGCAACTTGTACCTGTGGCCTCTTATTCAACAACGGTGCACATCTGAGAAGAGTCTGTCTCCACCTTTGTGCTTTCCACTGGAAAGACAATAATAAGATTCCTCCTTAGCTTTGTCTTTGTTGGCCTTTCCTTCAAGAAACACAGTTGTTCTGAGCTCTTCTCTTGCACTGTGTCCTTCAGCTCCCTGACCACCTTGGTGGCCTTCACTGGGCTGCTACAGGGTAGCCAGCCTTTCTGGCTTTTGTTCATATTTCTTCCACTTTAAACTGTCGTTGCTCTGTATATCTGCTACTGCTGCCCATGCCTGGCATGAAGTGTAAGATGCTTGCAGAGGAGACAACCAGGGACTTCTGAAAGGAGTCTGTGGGACTGGGTACTCTATTCCCACTCCACATAAATGGTGTCCCACACTTAATTCAGGCTCCTTGGGAACCCCAGGCACACAGTCCAACTGGGTTTTCTTCATCCAGGAACCCAGGAAGCTGGAATTCACCAGGCAAAAACCACACGGATGGGCAGACAAAACTACAAAGTGCCAGAACTGCAATATTGACTGTTGGGTGTTTTTTATCACATGCCTTGGGTGCTGTCCTGTTGTGTTGATAAACTCTCATTTTTCAGGTAAAAGCAAAGATTTTTATTCCATCACCGTTGCTCTTTTTAGTGCCTGATCTCTGTACCCCAGGCTGAGCTGGAGTGAACTGCTGGCGTTTTTTCATTCCTATGAAGATCAAACGCACGTATGCTTAGAGAGCAACTAGATGATGCTCTAATAGATTTGTATTGCTGGTATTAAAAATCCAACTCGACAGTATTGACCTCTTCACTTTCAGGATTTAAAATAATTTGCCGCAACCATGTGAGAAAAATATCTTCCTCTGATGTAGTCCCAATTTTAGAAGAGTCAAGTGCAAATAGATTTTTCACTCTGTAGACACATCGTCCTTAGCAAGACAGAAAATGGCTCAGGTAAAAACATAACTATTCCTATTTCCCCCCCAACTATTCAGTCTCCTCAGGTCTCCTAACACTGAATTTAAAAGCTCACAGGGCTTGAGAGTCTGCTTGCTGTGGGAAAGGGTTTGTTAAAAAAGCCCTGAAAACTAATAGGGTGGAAAAAATGATAACTGCTAGGAAACTTTAGTAACAACTGCAACTGTATCTTCGGGCTGACAGTCCCCTTATAGAGGCTAACGTGTTCAATTATGCCTCAGCTGCCTCGGCAGAAGGTACATGTGCTGTCAGCTTTGACAGAATGAAGAACACTCACTCTGTTAAGACTAAAGAATACTCTTTAAGAAAGAATAGCTGCTATAGTACTTTCTGTAACACACAGCTCAAATCCTGCACTACAAATTTGGTCCTGCTGCTTACACAGCACGCTGCATGTCATGTCTCCCTGCCGTGTCACCCCTCTCATCTTCCAGCCCGCATGGCCACGTGGGCTTCTGCACGAGCGAGAGCTGCGAAGCGGTGGCTGCTCGAGCCCCGTTTCCACCTCGCCAGTCTGGGGAGCCGGGTCCATCTGTGCTGCTCTCGGGCAGCTCTGAGAGTCACCACAAAGGTCCTTGCTGGCCACCCTGTGGTGGGCATCACTGAGGCCCTTGGCATCCTTCATGGTGATTCTCCCACTAGGACAAAACACTGCACTGGGATAACATTTGTATCCCAGCAAGGCACAGAAACCAACATCTACTTCACAACATGACTCAGCCCTGTCTGATCTGGACTCTGGATGCCAGGGATCTGCTTCCCAACAGTGACGAGGTGGCCTCAGTCCCCACAGCCATCACCTCTGTCCTCCCAGCGACAGCAACAATCACTCCACGGGCATCCCTGAAACAGACGTTCCTCAGCGCAGAGCTCGGATATGCAGTGCGAAGGAGCTCGCTGCTGGGTGCACGCGTCCCAGCTAAGGCACATCTGGCTATAATCTCTCCCTCGGCTGCACAGGGACATGCAGAGCCTATCACAGCTTTTCCCCAGAGGTTAAAGATGAACCAGCTGGACAAAACCACAATCAAACTCATCGCTGAATTTTTCTGAAGTCAGCTTTTTAGTTTGTTCAGAGAAGCGTGCGAGAAAGTTCATGAAACACTATTTAACGAACCTATTTTCCGCTTGCTCTCAAATCCAAGCAGCAGCTGTATGGTTGCTTCATGCCAGGAAGCAAGCGCAATAATGCACACCCTCCTGTGGCAGCACCTTAAAATTGCAAAGCTTACATGACACAACCAGCCTTACAAAACACACCTCATTAGTTGTACTAGTGGAACGGCACACATTGAACTACACAAGATACAGAAGGAAACACATCGGAAGGGAGAGTGGGAAAGCATTACATTGCACTGAGAGTCATTTACACCAAAAGACAAGGAAACGCAGCACATCTGAGAAGAGATATTTCCTAAAGTAAAAAAGATAACTGTGATCAAACCCCGTTTTTCCTACAGAAATCTACCCTGCAGAGCTATGTATTTTGTCATACCTGCCACTTTTTGAAACCATCACTCCAAAAGATGTGATGTTTACCTCTGGAGTTTCTAGCAGGTCCATACAACACCACACCGCCTGCTCTCTTCACTAAGACTGGGGAGCATCGGGCAGAACGCAGCCACGTTCCACTTCTCCAGCGCACACAGAGAGGTTACAAACACAGGAGTCCGAGTCTTCCCTCCTTCCCCATCACCTCTCCTGCCCTCTCTCCCCTGCAAGATAAAGAGCCTTCTCCCATGTCTTTTTCAAAGCTAAAGCATGCAAATCACCCTCATTTCGGTTCCACATTTTATTCTGCATTGTCATTATGTCTGATTAAGCGTTCTTGAAGCTCCATGTGTTAGAATCAGGCCCTTTCATAACACTGAAGAAGTGAGTTTGAGACGAAAAAAGAGGTATTAAATGTGTGAATGTTCATAAATGAGAACTGACATTTTCAGGTACCCTACATTTTCAGGAGAGGCTTAATGAATACCCAAAGTGATGACAAGTATTTGCTGAGTGTCTGATTGACAAAAATAGACAAAAATAAAATACCATGCCGGCTGGTACAGCAATTGGAACAAGAATCTCATTTCAGATTAATCTGTGCTTCAGTATACTTATCATTCAAGGGCTAGCTTTAAACTCTTTAATTCACTTGTATAATTATGATGTATAACTCTGTTATATTGCTGGATATGAAACAACTATTTACAACAGTTCTGTAATTTTTAACACAAAAAGATATATTTTCTCTTAATAATATGTAAAAATTCAGTACTGCTTGCTTGTGCTGTCAGAAATAAGGCGGCTACGAGCCAAGTCCCCTTTCTGGAATGTGTCACTAACGGAATAAAACTCCCACCTCGCAGGGGCAGGGCAAAAGGAACAGGGGAAGCAGCTCTAACCTAGCAGCTGCAAATGCACATGATAAATTCAAGCCACTACATGGGACTTTGCGTGATCTCTGACTAGGCTCTGACTCCTCTTTCCCAGTGGTACAGGATTCAGAGCTCTGTTTCCAGCTCTCTAAAATGTCAGAGAAGGAGCAGGCTCCAGCTTCTGGGGCAGGCACTGGGGTTTGGCAGCAGCAAAGCAGCAGTTTCAAGTCTTTTGGCAGGCAGGTTGCTAATGCAGCCATGTTCTAGCTGTTTCATGTTTGGGGACATCTGCTCCAGCACAGCCATTACTTTGTTTTCTTGTTCATATTTCCTATACAGTAGCATATACAGAGAGAAGGTCATATTCTCTGCTAACATTTTTCACGGAAGTGATTTGCAGACAGAATTCATAAAAGAAGTTTATTTTTCACGAGGGCAGCATTTCAGATAAATGTGATATTAAAGCAAACATACTGTGCACTCAAAATCCGACAACATGATGCATACAATTCATGGCCTTTTTAGACTTGTCCAAAAATGAATCTGGAAGAAGAGATGCCGTAGCTACGGCTAGGAAGGCACTAACTGTTGGCACAGACATCCAAAGGTGCTGCTGAATCTTCAGACATGGCAGCAAAACTGATTTGAAATGGACAACTGCGTTTCACCGTCAGCATGGAGCACAGCATTGGATCACTGGGCTGTACATAGTCCTCTGAAGGATTACTGTTACTCACACAATACCAATTACTTATGCAACACCAACACTGCTCAGAAATGCAACATTTGGTCAAAACTCTAATAAGAAAATTGCACCTATACCATTAACGGGAAACTATTGTAGCTACTTATGAGACTTCACAGCTAGGAAAGAAAAAAAACAAAAGACAATGGGAAAGATGACTTTTACTTGTAAAGCTGCTGTAGACAAACAAACAAACACTGGAAAAAATAATAATCCCATTTTCAACGCTAAAACAGAGACTACAAAATCCATTTTGGAAGTTTCCTTCTTAGCTACCTGTGTGTGATGTAGAAACTTTGGACTATAGTGTTGCTTGCAGTGCTGCAGCCTTCCCTGTAGGACGGTCCAGCTTCTGCCTCCACTGAACTCAGTGGCAGTTTCCTCTGATTTCAGTGGCACAGGAACAAGTTTTAATCTAGAGCTCAAATTCATAGTACAGACAAAACTTTTCCAGCCCTCACCACCACTTCACCAAGAGAGGTTTCCCATATCTAGTACTCCTCACACAGTTCAGGCCTCCATGAGACATCAGAGAGAATTCAAACTGAAAGGTCAGAAATACTTACTTCCACTAGGGATCAAGTCCCTATCCGGAATGAAGAGCTTATATCCGTAGTGCTTTTCTAGAACATCCGGCAGAATTTCAAGTGCAAACTGCTCCTCTTCATTATTATCACAATCTAACGCATCAGGATCCACTTTGGTGTATGAAAGATACGCATCGTATTCCTTGTTGTCTGTAAGAAAACAAATTCATATTTAGCCTGTTGTTTTGAAGAGCGCTGGAAAGAATACAGAAGGTACTAGGAAATCGTATTATTCCTTGAAATGATCAAGCACTTCCCTACGAAGCTGGGACTTCTCACAGGAACATACAATCTGGCTTCCACAGAGGAATTTTTCAGATCCAGGCAAAGGGTATCAGTTTTCTTCTGCATGTTAAGCCAGTTAGTAATTCTGCTTCATGTGGTCAGTGTATACATCTCACATCAGAACAGATCATGAGCAAAATTTTAATACAAATACTAAAGCTGGAACTTCTTATTTTAATCCTTTACACACTGCTAATGGAATCTTTCTTTCAACTCCTACGCCTCAAGAGTGCTATGATTATGTGCAAGTTTTGAGCTTGGAAAAGTTTTTGAGCCTGGACAGTTTAGAAAGTTTTGAGCAAGGAAAACTTCCTTACACAAGTAATTGTGAGAAAATATATGACAACTCAGATGAATACTGATTATGGAGAAAATGATGACAAACAGTCCAAAGCATTTTTTGAGAAAATCTTGTAGATTTTAAAACCAGTATCATAATTTTAGAGCTCACTTGATCCAAGACATTTTAAATGCACATGGGTCTCACAGTATGAGGGAGAGTAATAACTCCAAGAGCAAACGGGGCACAGGGTGAGACTTGCCCCTCCATTCTGCCTGCAGCCCAGGGGTGGAGGCCAAGCCTCATCCAAAGGTGGAGGCACGCAGCAGGTGACAGAGGGGACCCAGGCAACGCCACATGAGGATTGCGGGGCTGCAACACAGTGGTTTGGCTGGAAAGGGCAACACACCTCCTCCTCCTCCTCCTCCCACACAGCACTGGGGCTTGTCTCCAGCTCTCTGCATCCCAAACACGGAGCCAAGAGCTGGCGACTGAGCCAAGAACAGAAGTGGCACCACCATCGGGCTTGGGACCTCTGCTGGGATCAGACTGCCTTACTGACACTTCTCTTTGCTATTCCTCTGCAGTAATGGAAAACAGTATATTGAAAAAGTCAACCTTCAGCCATACCACCTCCAGGGAAGAGCACAGCTGCCATTATTTACAGAAAATGAAAAATCAAATAGTTAATGTTGTGAGGACAAAGCTGCATGAATGGAGGATTTCTGAGTACCAATTATCTGTAAAGAATAGCACCCATGAAAGCTAATTAAAGCAGTTAAAAATCATCAATATATTTTGATAAAAAGAAAAAAAAATTTCTAATCATAATACAATACATTCCTTGATGACCTTGAAAAGATGGTTACTTTCTTATAATTCTTGACACAAAGCCAGACCCACGAGGGTCAGAGCTACAGACAAAGCACGTGAGTAATTATACGTTTGTAAAAGGCAATTTGCCTAGTGTCACCAAAGCTGTATGGGAGGATCTCCACCTGGCTTGCTGATATTTCTCTGAAATCAACAGCCTACAAAATAGTAGTTACTGATGGAAAGATGACAGAAGAACAAACAGCAAACAAACAACAGCCAGACGGCTTCGGAGGCCTGTCCAAAACCTGCTACCCTATCCGTAATGAAGTCTGCCAAAACCTTTTAAGAGAAGCCAGCCACCAAGCGATCCAGGAGGCAAACGTCCCTGCAAACATCTGAGAGCTCTGCAAAGGCAGCAAAGCAAACCCAGAGCGCTGACACGCCTCGTTATAAAGTAGCGTGAAAACCATGCACGGACTGGGTGCAAGCAGTCCCTGAGCTCCCTGCCCCTTCCAGCTGCGTGCAGGTGACAACCGCCCTCTCCATCACCTCTGCTCACAATACTAGGAAGCAAGAGGTAGACAGAACCAGTTCCCCAGGCCTCCTCTGAGTCCATACGCTTGTGGTACATCTGTACAGTCTTGACTCCCCCTTCACAAGCTTCACATATACAGGACACAGCAGAAGGACCCATCCATGCTCACCCACTGCTTGCTCTGTGTGCTCTGGATGTGGCACTCTTTGGAGTTGTTTTCTAAACGGCTTCTCTAATCCTCTGCATCATTTTCTCTAAAAACAATGTCTGGCACAACACAGAAAGTGAATGCATCCAACGTTGCTTTTTTAGAATGTTTTTAGAAATAGGAATAAAGCAAATCTGTTGAGTTCCAATATTTATTATTTCTATATTAAAGAAATACATGTATAAATGGAAAATGACCCTGCAATTGCATCTATACAGCTGATTGCTCGTGGGAGCTCTGTATATTTTCACTATAGCCTGCCTAAGTAGAAAGAAACATCCCTGTATATGCTTTGACTTTGGTAACATTCTGCCTCTATCTTTCATTCTGCAGGATCAGAATGAGACACAAAGCTGCAATAGTTCTAAAATCATGCAGTGGAAAAATGAAAGGTTGTTTTCAGAATTAACATGCACACAAAATCCCTTATGTACTTGTGCGGCTTCCTCTAAACAACTAGAAAATAATATTGTTTCATAAATTAAAAAGTCATTGAACCAAGGAAGTTACATGAATAAACATGCAGCAACTCCACACTGAAAACTCGAGACAAATGAATCAAAGCAATCTGGAGGAAGTTACCACTTCGGTCACTTTTTGTTGGTGCAAACCAGGGATGCTATGTTGGTCTAATCCCAAGGCGTTAGAGGTAAATCACTTCCAAACCCACATAATCTCACCCTTCACCTTCTCCTAGGTATCAGTAGAAATACTGTGCAGTATTGTACAGTATGAAAAAAGCATCATTTTAGGCTTTCCCACTCACACACAGAGATCAAGAAAGAGGAAGTTTCCGACCTCCACTCCTTCTATTTATCATTCCACGCTCTAAAATCCCCTGGGTGTCACTCCACCCATTCTCCAGAACTCCCACGGATTTCATTGTAGTGAAACATTTTCACACCGTATCTACCCAGTGTTAAACAGAAACATTTATTATTTTGTAATGCTAACTGCAGAAAGTAACATGTCTGTGCAACTGCACATTGTTGTGACACAATAGGGGAAATAGTTCCCTGCTCTGTTTTCAAATACACTCTTCTTTCTCAATACACCATTCCAGACTGCCTACGTGACTCCCAAGTGTCGCAGCGGGCTATGAAAAGTACCTGTACTTGAATACTGTACTTCAGAACTTCTGCAGATACTAGTTCTATGCATATTAATAACATACTAATTATGCTATAATAAAAGTGCTAGAATATAATAATAGGCTTTAAAGCACTTGGATTTAGTTTACCAGGGCTTACTTACTCCAGCTTCATAGGAGCAGCAACGCTCTACGTTCAGGAGAATTAAAGCTTCAATTTAAAAATGCGTGTTTAGCTTTAGGCACCAAACAGAATATATGCTAGTGAGAGGCAAGCGGGGGCAAGAACACAGAAAACCAGCCTCGTTTATTCTAAACATACTCTCCAGACAAACTGTACATTTCCACTAAGTTGTTTACAGTCTCCCAGTTAAGTGGGGTAACTAGTTAGCCTCAGTAACAGTTGCCTCTCACTAGTTACTGGAGTTAGCTGGCAGCCTGAAGACAATTCAATGGAAATGTTTAATGAAAAATACCTGGTGAAAAGGGCTGCCCACATTCAGTATGGATCTCAGGAGAAGTGATCCTGGGCATATGTGGCACTGGGACACAGGAACGTGCAGAGTTCTCCTGAGGAATCGGTTCACAAATGACATTCAAGCCTCTATAACAGACTCCTGAACAGTTCTTCCGACTCCCATTTGCTTATGGCATGGCCCAGTGACATTTCAGTGAAAAGACTGATTTCAGGGGGCTTTGGGAGGAACTCTTAGGGCTTTACACTGTTGGGTGCTTAGAATTTTGAACTTAAACTGGCAGCAGGTGTCTTCTGGGATTCATTTCAATCTAGAAGTCTCATTGCTTTGGGTCTCTGAAATACTTCCATTGCATATATTGAGTTTCCTGAGCAACTGCTTACCATCAGCTGCTTCGTCTCCTCCAAAGTTCTGTCTGTAGAACAGCATTAACTCTATGTTGTAGCACTTATAGATGGTCACGAGCAAAATAAGCAGAAGAAGGATGGCTCCCAGTCCTCCAGCAAGCTCTATCTTGTAGATCAAATCTAAAATTAGCAAGGAAAGACAAAAAGGTTGTGATCTTTCCGAGCTTTATTTGCTCTAATCCACTGTACAATTCCACATAAAACTGTGCAGCTTCCAATTATAACCACTGTAACATTAAGGATGTCTAATTTTTTGTTCATTGCCTATTACTTAACTTTACCCATTTACTACATCTACTGCCCATATGAAACCACCATCCAGAATGCATTTGAGGGTATTATCATAATTCTTATACAAGGGAATTACGTAGTGATTTTACACAGAGGATTAATCAACTTTTAATGAGCTTGTGGAGTTTGAAACTTCTGTATTGGCAGAGTGCATCAAATGCTGTATGCAGCATGTGAGAATAGATATACTAGACATATTGTACCCCATTTGGGAGGCTTTAGTGTCCCCCCCAATTATTAAACTTTGATTTTATATTTGTGAAGCCAGTGGATGAGCTGCTATGAGCTGCCAAGCCAAGACTTCAGCTGAATCACTGGAGAATGAATTGAGCATCCAGAAGGCCCAAGATAACACGAGAAGCCAGGAGCACACATCAGGCTCTTAATAGCCACTTTGTGTGAGTTGTGACGCCTACTAACAGAGTTTTCACATTTGTTTACTACACATTATACTTCAATGGGAACTAGTGCTAGTTAAAATTTCCTACTGGGATGCTTTTGTTAGGAAACATCACAAGCAGTCTGCCTCAAACAACTTCACAAATTCATCCAAATAAAATTATCCATCTTTTACAGCTGGGGAAAGAGAGGCATAAAAAAGCGAAGCAATGTGTTCAAGGTCATTCAGCAAACCAATGCCAGAATAGGATAAAAAACCCTCGAATACCAGTCCAGTGCTCTACCTGATGCGAGGCACTAACTTCAACAGTATTGCTCTTTAGCCTGAAATGTCCTCTGAATACAACATTGCTCATAACATTACTCGGCATACTACTTAGCCATAAAAGACAAACGATGACAATAGCTACCTCTAACAGCCTGTATCAGTTCAGACAAGACATCATGAAGATATTTGCTGCTGTGATAAATACGACGTGAAAACGTAAAAACTGTAATACAGGCAAGACAAAGTTTTTGTGGTCTTTATGCTTCTAAAACTTAGGTCGAAAGATATTACTGGTACGTCATTTGTGTCATTTTCAAGATAAAAGTCCACTTAGTTGTGTGCCTTTTGGGGTTATTCATGCCTCACCATGCCTTGCATTTCAATAATTAACATCAGATGTCAAGCTATTCCCAGTTTACAGTATCTCTGATGTCTGGTAAGAAGTCATGGACTAATAGATGGATAAAGTCTATTGTAATAGCTATTTAATCTCTCTGAGAACACAGGGAATTCATGGGACTTCTATTACACTGCATGATAAAGTTAGCAAGTGCTTTGAGGATAAACCTGGTCAAATGGAGAACAGAGTTGGTTGACATCACTTTTCAGGGAAAAAAAGTTTTTGTTGTTGTTGTACTGAATCTTTTTTGCTAGGAAAGTGAGATGATGGCAAAGCTTCCAGCTTGGAAGGAGAGAAAATGCTGAATCTTGATCACCTGCAGCCCACACAGGAGCACAGACGTGTCCACTTGCTGGGGGAATGGCAGGGTATCGAGCAAAACCAAAAAATTCAGCTCAAAGGGCAGAACCGATTTGCTTTCACATGTTCTGTATTTGTCCCACTGCCCCATAAACTCTCCTAGAGTCCAGACATAAGGACGCAGAAAGCCAAGGCTTTTGGGCTCCTTATTTCCATTCCAAGGTGGAGGCAATGGAGAACTCCAGCTCTTAGTCCCTGCCTCCGATTAATGCCTTACTCCTCAAAGCGGTCCTCACTGCAGTCAACAGGGAAGGCAGCACACCCAGCATTAGGAAAGGAGTTGAATCTGGGCTTTGTGCTATAATAGTGACTGAAAATTAGTAAATAATAAAATTCTGATATTTTCTAATATAAAATAATATAGAAGAACTGAGCCACAGCGTATCATAGAGGATTATGGTCTTCAGAATACTAAAAGTCTAATAAATACCCAACAAATGAGAAACAAATATATTTTAGGTTAGTGATCATTTAGTACTATATCAGTATCAAAAAACCTCAGAAATTAGTTTCTTGCATGTCTTGAATAAAGGCAGCCTCCCTGAAATAAATGGTGAGCAAACATCATTATAATTATTACTTTTATCTAAATTCACTGCTTCTTTCCACTAGAAGCAAGGCTTGATTTTATCCTGCAGTTACTGACAAGTTACTCATGTTCCAGGACAGTTGTATTATAGACTCTGTAGACTTCAATCACTAAAATACTGGACTGTTTTCATATTCGCTTGAAGGGAATCCTGAACTACTTCCACAGCCAAGGGACAAGTGGGTGTACATTGTGTTTCCATGTAATCTGGAAAGTTTCCCAAACATGCTAGGACAGCATGGAGAAAAAAAGAAAAGCAAACCCAGGATTGTCCAGAACTTATTTTTGAACTACTTGAAAGCAAATTCTCTGGATGAGAGATCTGTGCTTCCTCTTCACCTTTCCCAAGCAGCTCAGCATCTGAAAAGAGGTGAATAGCTTCTTACCAGCACTGCCCTAAATCTTGTCACAGGAGTATACCCTGCATCATGAATACTCTACGGTCAAATCCAAGCTGGAGAAAGCCAGAAGAAGAAGTAATTATACCAAGTTGCTGAAATGAAAAGGTTTGGTCAAGTATTTGTAAGAACTTAACAAATAAATAATAAACAGCAAAATGGGACAGGCAGTCAAAGGACACAGTGAAAATACTGTGGTTATTTTAAATGACACTTTAATAGCTTGAAAATCAACTACTGAGCATGCCTGAGGGGAATATAAGCCTTCTACAGTCACAGTGCAGAGAGAAATGAAATAGTAGCTGTGAAGTGATCCTTTCCACCCTCAAATTCTGTATTCAGCAGTGCTCCTTCCATAATTTCAGCAGAGCTCTGAAATGTCTGCATTTTCTTGTTATAAATAAACCTAGCTTGTTACTCTAATATATGCAACACAGCTGAACATTTAACAGTCAACATAGATATACTTACTATCAGTTGTATATTTATTGGGTTCAGCGGATGGAAAGGCAGAACGCTTTTTGCACTAAAGAGGCTAATCCTTCATCATGACGACCAGCTGCCTTCATTAAAGTCATGACATCCTGTCAGTTTAGATGTCGAATATACAACTGTGGGCCCTTGTTTCTCAGAGTGGTTTTCACCTTCCAGATTGCGTTTTCTCATCATTTAACGTAAAATACAACCTGTGTTATCCCTTCTTTCTGGGAGGACATAAAACTCTCACACATAGAGGAAACTAAGTAGGACTTAATTCAACTGATTTTGACAGGACTGCATACTGTACTTTCACACATGTAAGCTGGGGGTCCATGAAAGAATAGCAAAACAAGAGGACACTGACCCAAAAGTTTCCTCTCCCTAGTAGCCCTTTTTTGTCCCAATAGCACCCCTCCCTCACCTTTCATTTTATACAGATTGTAGCCATGAAACACAGCACTTAGCATCCAGCATGCCTTTAGGTGAACTGATGACTCTGGATGTTTTCCAGAACTGCGGTGCCCCATCTAGAGAGGCCTTGGCTGGTCTCCCTGTTCTTCCACTTGGCTCTTAGTTCACTGGTCCCATCGTGACATCTACCCTACGGTCAGAGGGCAATCTGCAGCACGCTCAGGTACTAACAGTATATCTGAATCTTCTCCAAATGCTGACACTCTTGTGGGATTTTGCTGCAACTGTGATGATGGAGGGTGCTGGATTTTTTAACTGACACTAACACTGCAGTCCACAACCCGCTGAGAAGCACGTCCCTTGCCTCAGTGGTCTGAAAGCACATGAAGGACTGGAACAGTACTTGCAGGTGTGCCTTGTGAAAGCAGTTGTTCTTCTCTTTTGGTAAATTAATTTACAGCCAAGAATAACGGCAGATATCTGGACTATGCAGTAACTCTTTAGTCAATCTCCTGTGCTGATGGCTCTGTGGTTTCACATTACCTCTTCATCTTGAGTGTATAACCTTTGCTTTCCCAACAGTTACTGTCTCACAGCTTTTGTACTACCTAACACACTGTATCTTAGAGAGATCACCATCAAATTTAATGTCACCCTACTTATGAATAGGAGAGGTGACTGAATAAACAGCTTAAGAACTGTAATGAGACACTGTTACACTCCTCACAATAATGACTTCTACAAACAGCAAAGCATAGTAGCACCTTTTAAGTTGGAACATACAAACCCACACGGTTTCCTTTCTGCTACAGATAACTTGTCAATAGGGGTATTCCCAATTCCAAGTACAGTACCAAGAAAAGCAATCATGATGTGGTAGTTCTCCACTGATTTGTAGCTCCCATTGCAATGTTTTCATTCCCAGTGCAGTTAGAAATCAAAATGCATGGCAACTGTTTAAAGCTTTCGATTTAAACAGCAAAGCCAGGAAGCGGAGAAACACCACGACATCTGACCTCAGTGCTGAGGTACCTGTCCTAAGAAATGCACATTTTAACTCCATCACACAATTACCTCTGGTCTAGTCAGTCAACTTGGGGTCAAATTCGTGGGTTGTTTAGACCAAAATACTTCCACTGCTGATATGGGTGCTTTATGGGTGACTGTATTCCAAGCAAGTGCATCACCCGCACAGCTGATTCACTACAGACTAAAGAACAATTCATAATTTTTTTTCACAAATGGTAAACTGAAGCTGTAACACAAACATACTTCAGCTCCAGGTAGGCACACAGGAGTCCAGCCTGGCTCAGAGAGGTCAACAGAACCTTTGCCACTGGCTGACCTGTTGCTGCTGAGGCAGGCGAGAGTACAGGTAATTCAGTAAAGACAATTATAGAATCATTAAGATTAGAAGAGAGCTCTAAGATCATGAAGTTCAACCGTCAACCCATCACTGCCATGCCTACTAAATTACTAAAATTACCTTTCTTGCGCAGAAGAACACTGGCATGTTTCCGTCCGTTTCTGTTTTCCACATGACACGTATAGTTAGCCAGGTCTGCCTCCTCAACAGCATCAAAGATCAATGTCAATTCAACTTCTTTTTCTCCAAGATGTTCTCTGAGGAGTCTGAAAGGAAGGAGACAGTCTTCACTTAACTGAATTACTACAGGTGGAAGGTTCCCAGAAGAACCACGATTTCTCAGCACAAGATACACAGTGTTCCCGGCATCCTTCACTCCTGAGAAGGACTTAGAAGTAGACTCCAGTTGCCTGAAAGAGACTTCACGGAGGCATCTTCCACGACAACCAAAAGCCTTCTTCTCCTGCCATGTCTGTAGCGAGGAGCTAATCAAGTGCAGGAACAAATGCTAAAAACAATGTCTCCTTTAAAAGAAGCAATAAATACTCACTTTCCAGAGAAGTAAATATGTGCTACTAAGCCACTGCTGAGCAAATTATAAGGCAATATTTTAAGGGCTGGGTATTGTGATGCTTTTTAAGGCAGTCTGGAAAACCAATGAAAGGAGCCGTGCTACTCTGTGGAATTTTTCTCTATTTTCAGGGGCTAGATCCTGACTTTACAAGGGAACAGTGTCAAGACCAAGAGCTCTCTGCTCCTTTGAGAGGACAGAGGAGACATGCAAAATCCCCACAAAGGGAACAAAGTTCTAGCAGACTTTCAGGCCAGAGGTACAGTCCTTTCATGTCCTTCTTCTAATGTGAACCTTAAAAAGAATGCAAAGTACATGCAAGTGTTTTCTGATGCTGACACTAAGTTTAAAAATACAATGCCCTACCAAAATACAGTCCCTCTCAAATGGCTTCTGATCAGTTGCTCAGGAAAACGCTCCTGGTCCTTTGAACAAGGAAATGTAATGTCAATTAAAATCTACCCGATTCATTTGACCCTGTTAGCGCGCAGCTGCATCACGTGTGAGAGGGTGAACGTAAAATGTGTGACGCCCTCGCAGCTGCCTGCGAACTCACCATCACATGCAGTACTTCAGTGAGTCTCTTCTCCAAAAAGATAGTGTACGGCACTAAGAGGTAAAGGTATAAACAGGATCCAGGTTCACCAAAAAGTCCGGAGACTGGCGGGAGGTGATTTGGCACAAAGTAATTCACCAGAGTGCTGTTTGCACTGGATGGAAACTGCTTCTGGAGAGCTTAAAATTTTTCAGTAACAACATCAAACCCCCAATCTCTCTGTTATAAACCAAAGCTGTTTTAGGGTTTCCAATGCGCACACGCATTTTTCATATGTATATAGTTTCATATAACAAACATGGATCTCCAAATTTGAAAACAAATCAGAAATGAAATACGAGGGCACTGCACTAGACAATCAAAAACGGAAGCCTGACTGCTATAAACCACATATTTACGGTAAAATTTCCCCGCACCTAGCCTTTAAAGGCTTGGGTGGTCTGACAGAACTCAGCAGATGTACCAGAGCATCCACAACAATTCAGCCTCGTTCACTACAGCGGTGTAACTTCCAAAAAAGCAAGTGGAAAAACTTTAGTTTAAGAAGGCATGTGTGTTGCATTTGGAAATTCTGATCGCATCTTTTTCGCAAATTCACCCTTATTTATTGTGTATTTTTGCATTTTTTTTTATTCTGTCCCTGAGTCCAAGTGCTGAATATAATGCAAGAAAGGCTGAATTTGTATCATTCCTGGCCAGAAAAGAAACCTCCCAGGAGAGCCTGACCTGTTTGCAGACTCAAATGACCCTAATTTATTGGGGATCAGATAAATAAATTCTAATTTACCTATTAACCTATATTCCATATGTACATATAGCAAAACCTTTTAAACTCAGGAAAGTCTTTCTTCTCTGTTGGTAAACAATATGCTTCACAAATTTTGGCCTAGAAATCATGCTGCAAGGAACAAATAAAATCATTAGCAGAGAAGATATCTGGGACACTAATCTGGAGCACACTGTGAATGTTCAGATTGTCTTGTGTTTACTACAATCAGCATATTTGATGCAGAAAAACATGAAGACAGATTACAATTAAGAGAAAATAAACTATTGTTCTGAATCTATTTCAAATAAAATAATCAACCCTTAACCTAAATTTACATAGTACATGATCAGCTAAAAAGGAGCTTTCATAAAAAAGAATACACATTTGGACTGAATTTTTTTTTTTCACTTATTTTCATGTTAATTGCAATTTTTCGGAAGAGAACACTCTAGAATGGGATCTAACATGAAAATGCTGATGGACCCTTAAATATTATGCTGGTAGCAAAGTGTAGAAAGCTCTTAGTGGTGTTAAATCTTTCACTCCTGCTTTTTTTTCCCCCATCCTTTTTTTTTTTTTTAACCAGCACTCGACCGTGAACAATACATTATTGCCACAGAAATACACAGTTGGTCGCTTACATTTTTTTAATATGCGTGCAGCTTTTAATTGATTGCATTTTGTAGTTGGTTCAGAGAACACTGAGAACAATATTTTTGAGTTAGGAATACAGTATGAACAAGTAAGACCTCACAGCTGCAACAGTATTTGCTTGCGTTGCCAGCAACACTGCCAACACAAGCCAGCTCCCACAAGTTGAGAAAATACTGGCTCTTCTTTCTGGTTTGATGAACAAACTGTAAGAGTAATTGCATCATTTAATACATAGGTAAATCTACGGTGCTTGACAACTCACAACAAACAGGATGGAGGGAGAGAAAGAAGAGGTGTGTGAGGTAAAAATACCCAGTGCTTTCTTATTGTTCAAGCTAGCTTTCTTTTTGTTCAAGGTGAAGCATTTTATCTGAAACAAAACATTTTGTCTAGTCATTATTTTTCAGTTAAGAAAATAAGAATTAAAAACAAAATTATCATTTCAGAATACAAATGTTTTCTTTGAAAAATATCAATGTTTTTGATTTTTCAAATCTTTTGTCGTATTGTTCCAATGTATTTATGCACAAAGTTGAATCTGAAGTTAAAATACTTTTCCTTTGAAACCACATTTTCCTATAATTTCCAGGCTTTGTGTGATCACAGATGTAAAGGCCACAAGAAAGCTTCAGCTGGGTCTCTTTACAAGACCAAGGCATTAATTCCAAACCTTTACTGATCTGCATGCGAGTTGGGACTTCTCAAAAAGGAAACTTTTATTCTTTATATAGTTGAGGAGCAGGACTGTGAACAGGGATACAGACTCTAGTCCCTTCTTTCTAGTCTTTACCAATAGCCTGCAGATGAAAGGACAGATCTGCATGTACATAAGTACCTCTCCAAGGAAAAGAACCTCAACTAACACCACAGCACAGCGATCTTCCCTTTCACTTTGCTGTATCATGTTTCTCCTTCTCTGCCCAGAAATTGTCTACTTGAATAGTACAAGCTTTTCAGGAGAGGGCTGTCATTTTCATACTTCTCTGCGAAGTACCCAGCACATTAGCCAGGCAGTAGCGATAATTCTGCCTCCCTCCTGCAGCATCCTCTCCTAGCAGCATATAAGCTCCTCATTTTGCCTGAGCATTTGCATCAGTTGACTTCTGTGGGTGAAAAGGCAGAATGCTAAACTAATCAGCAGGACGAAGTAAGGCTGCAGTTCAACAGGTCTCCATTCACTTCTTTCACTCCCATGCCTCTAGAACGAGTTGAATTATTTCCACTTTAAAAACAGAGAAAAGAGGGAAAAAAAAGGACAGACATGCCATACAAGTTGAGCATTACGAGGCACCTGCAAACTGTTTTGCAGTGTTGCCTGAAGAAGAAAAAGAAGCAACTCATAGGTGGCTGGGAGAGTAAGATTTCTGCCTGAAAATACTTCTTTGCCACGGCAAAGAGACCATGCTGAAATTTGCTGTGGGCTCCTTTGATAATTAGGTACAACCAGCAACTCTGCAGGCAGGCTTAAAGACTCCAATTCCTTCTTTAATAGCCCTGGTTCAATTTACATGACACTTTTATTACCGTTGTGAAAAACCCAGCTGGCAAGCACAGCCTCTTTCTCCTTTTGCCCCTGTGCATGTCTAACATTTGGGGATCTTAGTTCAAGGGAAGGCAAGGAGGCAGGTTAGAGAGGGGCTCATTGCCTCCACATCCTGCAATGCTGATTAGTTACTTTTGATTCTGAGGCTCTGTAACGAGGTCTAATAAATAATGAGAAGCCTAGAGCTACGCATATGTTAGTCATGGTGAAGTCTGCTTACTAAAAAAAAACAGTTCCATGGGTTTGATTTTAACAGAAATGCTCAAGTCACAGGCATCCTTATTTCAGTGCTTTCATAATAGCAGAGTAATTGACTGGTAGCGATGCACGCCAGAGGATGCAAACCAGGGATGGATGTTTTGTACTCCCACACCGCATTGATCTGCAAACCTGAACTTTCCTCATATACAGCAAATCCAGTGACACGATAGGTGGGTACAGTACAGGGTAAGGACAGCACCAAAAATTCAGAGTTCTCCTAAATTTGTGAATTAATTTAAGATAGGGAATGCACAGTTAAAATGTTAGATATTTGCCAAAGAAACAACCCGTGCAGTGGTCTGGTTGTAACAATTCCCAATTACCTGTAGTTTCTCAACATTAACAGAAACGTGCTGATAATACCATATAGAAGCAAACAGATGGGAAAAACATTTAACCAGCAAGTTCAACGTGGCTCATCAAATTTGAAACATACATGACATTTTTTCAAATACATCAATAAGTACGGGTGGGTGAAAGAACAGGCTGGCTCAGGGCACTGACAGAACAGTTTCCCTGAAGCAGCAAACCTGTAATAGGATGCATAAACAAGAGCTGTTACTGTGAAAAAGTAATTCACAAAAAGTTACTACTACCGTTGCCATAGCTACTTCTAAATGAAAAAAAAAGGACGGACTCTGGCACTGCTGGTAACAATGCAGTAGGTTTTGGTAAATGCTATGTTTTTAATGCTGGCTGTGATGCACAGGAGATTAGGTACGTGATAAGTAGCTTTGTTGAAAAGAAGACTCACTGAATTGTGACGGGCCTGTAGAGCGAGTCAGAGCATTTTAACGAGTGAGAAAAGGGAGTTGTCACAAAATTAATCGGAAACATGAATGGGTAATGAGATGGCACAATGAAGGACAAATACAGCTTTTTCAAACTCAATTTCACTAACAAATGCACATAAAGGAAAAGTTTTGAACTGTGCTAGAGCTGGAGAGCTCTTTAAATACAAACTTCAAATTGTCCTTCTGATGCAGAGGAAGAACATGAGCAAAATCACTCAGTTCATATATATACACCAGAGAGGACACAATGCCATTAAATGCTGATTACTTGCAATGGCAGAAGTTTCCAATAATTGTATTTTGTGGTCAGAAGCCCAAAAGAGGATTGTACACTTAAAGCCATTCTGGCAATATATGATAAATTCTATCTGTATGCAATTAAGGTGCAATGTTAGGTCAGTTAGTATATCTTAATAACTAGTGGCTAAATGGCTTAACTTCAAATTATTGATCAAGTAATAAAGCAAAGAAATCTCTCTCTCTGCGTGCTCTCCAAAATCACTTTTACAAGAAGCAAACAACTCAGAAATGAGACCAAAGAAATGTGCAATGGAAGGTGCAAAGACCTTGTCTTTCTTTATAATCTACATTCATTGTGTCCATAGGAGCTGGGACCACCTTGTCCATAGTATAACCACAGCTTAGTCTTTGATCAAAGAGCTATTAAGGAGGTAATTATTAAACAAGGAAGAAAAGAAGATGCTGTTAGGTGCAAATTCCATGAAGGTTTCTGGGGATACAAGTGTTTGCTTTCTTTACAACTGGTACAGCAAACGATAACCAGCACCTGGAACAAGCCAAGCACAAGCTGGATATCAGACATCTCACACAGCAACTTCCCTCTCTCGCTTAAGTGTTAAGCATGGAGAAACAAATGCTTCGAAAGCCCTGGTTAAGGCATATTAAGAGCTGTATCACAGGCAGACAACACATTCAGTAGAAAAGAAAAAGTATGGTGACTTTGACAGGAGCCCATTCATCTTTAAGATTAACAGCGATGCTGAAATGAATGTCGTCTTGCCAAGGACTGCCACGAGGTGTGGCTGCAGTGGACAGCACCATTTCCATGCAGGGCTAAAATCAACCCCCAGAACACTCAAGAGATGCTTCAGCTACCATCAGGGGAATTTGATAACAAATTTTCAGGAACATAGACAGCTACTATGCCTTTAGAGTTTATTCGCTAGAAAGGAGAGGGAGCAACTCACACTTCCCTGGTTCCAAGTCATTCATCACTCTTTGGACAGAAAACTATTTTCCACTTCCAATTAAAAAAAACGTTCAAAAAACCGCTACAGGCTTTCGGGATATACCATGGTTTTAACAGTAAAGACTCCAAAAAGTACCTGACTTCGCCTTCTCTGATGTGACCTTCTAATTCTTCTATGAATTTTTCCCCTTTCATCCAGTAGATCATGGGGCCCGATTCTCCACTGAACCCAAAGAAAGCTTTGCAGGCCACCATCAGTGGGTTTCCTTAAGACAAGAAGAAAAGAGAGAGTTAGACACTTCGTCACAGCTACTAGAGAGACAATGATTATGAGAAGCCTCAACACCTGAACTAAACCTCCCCGTTTAAAATTTGAGGGGAAAAAAAAGGAATAACTATAAACCATAGGAAAAATGGTGACGTTGATTTGCATCTACAGGAAATAGCTGTAAAATGAAACTCTGAAGTTATCCATCATTTCTTTTTTCCCAGAAAGACACTACATGAACAACGAGAAGGTACGGAAATGGTGGCAACATAAGGTGATGTCAGATTGGTTGCTAAAAAGAGAGATGACCTCTTTGTCAGACTCCTGGGATCTCCACCAGGACTGGGGACTGTGCCCTAAGAGGCAGGTAAATCACTGAACTTGCTTACTGCATCCTATCCACCCATAAAAAAGACACAGTAATAATTTCCTCCTCACTTAGATAGAAATCAAATGTTAATGAAGTCTTAGTAAGCTGTTCTCAGAGCTTTTAAAGATCCCGAAGTACTACACGATGCCAGTGAGCACCAACAACACCCATGTTACTGTCAACAGGCTTTGGCAAAGGACCGAACTTCAAAGCATTACTCAAGCAATAGAGTAAAGAACTCTCCCTTTCAGCTCTGCAAAAATACTTCCAAAAGAAAGAAAATGAAACTTGGAAACTAATCAGGTTTCTTTTCTCCCCAAGAATTCAGCATTTAGATGGATTTTTGTTTGGTTGCAGCTTTAGCTGTACTAGCTAGTCCAGGACTGTGCTTGCACTGCCAGGACAGATGGTCGTCTGCCTGCAGAAGACTTAAACAAAAGAGAACAAAAAACCCCCAAACAAGCCAGGAAATTCAGGAGAAGCATGCCCATTCCCTTCACATGCCAATACAGCTGCTGCACTCGCTTCTCTTGGCCTGTTTTACCCAGCATAGGCGGTCCAGGTTACAAAGCAGCTGTGGAGTCACCTCCTCACATGGGAGGACAGACCTCATGTCATGTGCAATGGTGACTTGTGCCAAATCTTCCAGGACCCTGATCAAGCATGAAAAGTCCAAATAAAGCATTTTACTATGTTCGAAAGAAATATTTTGTTACGCCAGCCATCCTCAGTGCCAGCAGGAGACTCTTTTGACGCTGAAATAGAACAGGCCTACACTTTTCAAAAAGGGCCAGTCACTTGGAGCACATCACTTGGCTGCGCATGGGCTAACGGTTTCACAGGGCTGACTTACTCTGCCTTCATCAGTCACCTCCTGTCTGCTCAGCAGTGATAACTCACTGTGTGCATACTGAGAGCACATCAGAGTTGTGTGTTAAAGCACCTTTGCCTAAACCCCCCCCAGAGCTGTCCCAAGCCAACTACTTGCACTCGTCTATCCATTATTTAAGTGCCCAGTTTAAGACATGTCAAAAGAGTCTGATCAGTCAGGAAGTGCAACACTCCCAGCCACTGAAAATCAGCCATGCTCAAATTGTTTCCAAGCCAAGAACCAAAATTACAAGCCCTTTTGAAACATCAGGATACAGCAAGAAAAGGTTTAAAGACTGCACTTCAGTCTCTGTTTCTCAAATAGCAAAAGACAAAAATGGAAAATGTTTATCCTGAAAATGTTTTACAGAATCTTTCATTATCTCCATATTCACTACGACTCTGGTACCACAGCTGGCCACTGAACATGTGCTGATGCTGACAGATTATACACAACCAGCTCAAATGTCCACAACAGAAGCAGGGGTGGATATTCACCGCTACACGTATATCCCACAACACTGACCACCATCATAAGAGAGTTCCAAACTTCATTAGCTAATGAAGAGTCAAGAAACACTTCTAGGCAGACATTTAACTGCACTAAAAGACAATATTGGAATAGTCTGTTTCCTTCTGCTCCTGCTCACCCAGCCCTGCGAGCCCTCCACGGGCGGAGGGGAGAATCGGAGCCTCCGGCTATATCCATCTCACGTTTTCCGAACACACTGGATGCCTGGGTGGTGTGAGGTCTTTTGTGCCGCCTGCCTCAGAGTTACTATATGCATCTATTTAAATACCACTTAGTGATTGCTGGCATGCGGCTGCTCGGTCCGTGTTTGATTTTAATGGAACGAGACAACTGTAGCCATGTGAAACAGAACGGGCTAGGCGTGGCCTAGCAGCACTGATAGTCGATGCCCTCTCCTTCGCACACCATGCTGGGCATTAAGGGTTACAGGCAAAATATATTATCGGGTGTGCTTTTCCTCAAACCAGCAGATTTTTACTTTAAAAACAAACCCTGAAGAAATGAAAATACTCCAAGGTGAGTCTAAGATTTCTATACATGCAGAGTAAATATCCTGAGGTAATACGTCTGGTCTGAAGAAATAAGAAGTTTTCTATACAAATAGGAAAACCTAAAAAACCTAGCTGTTGGTACACAGCTTCTGTAATAAACAAACCCAATACAAAACATCAGTAGCCTCTACTGTGACAGCCTGCACGCTCTGAACATGCCCGGGCAGATCTATTTCCCAGCTTTGCCACTGGGGAAAACCAGAGAATAAACTAATACCGTCAACCGCAAACTTTAGAGTGAATTAGTATTTTCAGTTCAAACTCTGCGACCAGCCACACCTGAAAAAACCCATGGTCCATCTCATCTGCAAACCCATCACTGATCAGAGGGAGGTATAAGCAACTGCTCCTCATGGAACAACTAATTTTCATCTCAGTAGAATGATGCACGTCTGGGCTGAGCTGAGCTGTGCTAGGGTGGAAAGAGTTTGGGGCTTGATGACACCTCAAGGTCCCATCCAAAGCCAAACTCTCACACACTGTTCTTCTGCTCCTCAGGCTGATAAGGACATAAGGACATCTCACACTTCTGTAGCCCTCTGAAGCAGCTTCTGGTTTCTAACTCCGTCACCCCTTTGCGACTCTGGAAGCAGGACAAAGCCAGAAAAGGTAACATTGGCTCTTCCTTGCAGAAATACTTTACCTCCTCAAATAAGCCTCCACAAGAAAAGGAGGGGAGGTTTCCCCTCTCCTGCTACGTTAAGACACAGCTGGTCACAGCAGCAACCTGTTACTACTGGTTTTCAGGGAACTCCAAACAATTCCTACCCAGAAAAGAACACATCTTGGCTCACTTCATTTCCCCCAAAGTGCTGAGATTCTAAAACTGCAGCTCAGTTCCCCGGTTCCTAAATGTACCCTTGAATATGGGGAGAAACAGGCAGTAAGCATGGAGAGTGCCCTTTGCAGGTACTGATTTTGGGGCTGGCTTTGAACCAGGCGGTATCACACCCAGTCACAGTTCCAGGCAGAAGGAACTAACAGGCAGTCTGCAACTCCAACAACTCATTTTGTGTACGGCTCAAACTTTTGCATATCATTATTGTTATTCTGCGTGACACTAAGTAGTTCCACCACTAACTGTTCTTATTAAGAAAAATTCCCCTTGCATCATTTAATTAACAAGATCAAAGTTCCTAGAATGAATGGTATCCTAAAAGTTTGCCATCTGTAAATGGTTTCTGTTTAAATCAGGTATTTCAGTTGCAATTTTAATTAATAATTTGCTGAGAAATAGAGAAAATGATTACTGAGATTTCTAATGAATCAACACTTAAGAGAATGTTTTAAGAAACAAGGGAAGAAAGTAGAAAAGTCTGCTTGTAGACATCACTGAGTCCACTGCTTTGCTGGGGTCACCTTGTTGCAGTAAAGCCTCGGGTTCCAGCAGCAGTCTCTGCTTCCGCTTCTTTCCCTGCTCTGTCACTCAGGCAGGCTTGTTGAAAACTCCCAGCTGATAAGACACAACCACTGGCAATAGGAATGACTTTCATTGCTAAATCTTATTGTATATTTCTCACCTGACCGTTTTCACAATAAATCTGTGTGAACTCTACCATACATTTTAGCAATTATTTTTCTGAAAATGAGAATTCCACAGAAACGCAATTATTCAAGTCAAATAGCTGCCTGATGGCAGTAGGAGTACTGGCTAAGGAGGGAGAAAGAGACTGCAAAAGAATTTAGCCAGGCGTCATTCTGAATGTGCTTACTGCAGGTCTGACACGCTTTGAAAGAGAATGACAAGTCCTGCAGCACAGTCTCTCTTGAATGAGGCATGCGCCAAGCATCACGTAAATGAAAATTCAAATACCTAAAAGTTGTTCAGCCTTTTAAAAACTTCAATGCCAAGGCTAGATGACTGACCAGCACGGAAGACAAAAGCTGTTCACTGATCACAAGATCTGGCTTATGCCAAGGCACTTTTTCAGGGATTTTTTTTGAAAATGCAGATTGTTTATTTTTTTCACTCGTTTTGCATAAGTAGGTGGATTTCATGTCTTATTTGCGAGCATCCATTCAAGGGTACAACACAGAGTTTGCATTCTCTAATGTCCCCATTCTGCTGGTGCTCTGCTCTTCCAGCAAATCAGGCTTTCACTCCCAGAGTAAATCATCCCAGAGTAACCCCATCAAACAGCCAAAGTCATCTGTGAATCCTTGGGTGCCTTTTTTTTTTTCCCCTATGGCTTGAAACATTAGTGTTTTTTCCAATTCTTTCACATTTTTGTGCCAGATACAACACCACTCTCAACAAGCCTGAACCGAACCAGATGATCCTTCCAAGCTAGTACTAGAACTAACTGGAAGTGCCAAAAGAAGACCTCCTTTTGTACCAGGCAACATCAAAAGTCAACCCTGCACACACTGGTAGTTGGATTTACACCTTCAGCTCCATCTAAGTGTTAATACCACTGACTACAATATTGCTTTTATCTCTTTCAGGGCTGGATGCTGCATACACATAGAATGGAAGACAAGTGCATTGCTGCCACCAAAAAATCATTCCGTCACTCCAAGTCCCTCTTCTCGATGCACATGCATCATGTAGCTCCTCTCTGATAACGACACCTGTGACTCTTTCCCTATAAGACCGACAGAGAGAAGTGATTGCAAAGGAGCAGCTTCCCACTCTTGACACATGCAGATGTTGTGCAGGCACCTCACAGGCTTTG